GATAAGGTTTTTTGTTTGTTTGTTTTTTTCATTCATTTTTCCCCACCAGACAATTCGTCTGGAGTCGAAGCATGTGTTGAAGTTGTGGAGTTGAAGAATGCATATCAAAAGGAGGGAAAGTAGGATCTCCCAGCTTGATGATCAATACAAACTGAAAATAAATGCTGCATGATGGATGTCTCTCCTGAGCCAGTGTACTCTGTTTGCTCCAGGCAGGATTGCTTTAAGAAGATGAACTCTTGACAAACATATTCTGCGTGTGCTGTGAAAACGATGCTCTTTGAAAGTTGGTCGAAAGAGAAACATGTTTAGATTTTGTTTGAACATATAATGCATGCAAGTAAAATCAAAGTGCATTTAATTCATCTTGCTTGGACAGTGACGCTGACTTGATTACAGCTTCCGTGTAGAGTTTATATTTAAAGTTGTATTTTTTTTTTCTTCTTTTAAGTGGCATGCAATGCTAAAACAAAATGAGCATGACATTGAATTAGGGTTGCTGCAGAAAAATATGATTCACCAAGATGTCACTCTTCAACTCCGAATCAGGACTCTTGCTTCAAATGTCATCATTTATCATTTTAAGAGGAGGGGGAAAAAATCATGCCACTTTGCATAAAAGCTAACTTCCCCCCACTCCCACATACACACACATTTTATTTATTAATTTATTTATTTTAGTGTGGGTGTTTTATGGTTACTTTAATTTTGTTGGTGCTGCAGGATCACTTCCTGTTCTGGGGGCTTTCTTGTTGGAATTATTTAATTATCTGTGACTTCTCTGGGTTCCCCAGTTCCTTCAGACCAAAAACATGCATGTTAAGCTAAATGTGTAGCTTTAAATTCTCCTTAAGTGTGAGTGGTTGTTTGTGTCATTGCTCAATGATGGACTTGCAACCAGTCCACTATGCCAAGCAACTTAGCATAGTGATGATGTGTGACATGGTATGATCTGAATTTTAAAATAAGTTCATACAAGAATGCTTTGTTTTTAACTTGATTGCTAAAAATCATATTGGGTAATTCTGACAACATTCACAAATGGGTTTTATGAGTTTTTATCATTTAAAGGATAATTTTTAACATGACTCATTCTTCATTTTTTAGTTGTTACTAACATTTTTCTATAAAGTGGGGGGGGGGGGGGGGGGGCTTAAAACCCTTAATTGCTCAAGCTTCTTTGTGCACTTCTATTGGTTAATCTTAAGATTTAGTTTAACTATCTGCACAAATTAAAACACAACTCGTAAAGGAAAGCCTCAAACAAAAATTATCTGCTGATGCAAATAAGGTGGAAGAATTCCAAAATATGTTCCTGTGAGAAAATGAAGTCATGCAGAAATAGTTTGGCCTATTCTAAGTAAAAGCAAATCTGTAAAAGGTTTGGCATAAAAATAAATTGAAACAACTGTCTCATAAAATTTACTAAAGTACCAAAAATGCGTTAATTAAAAACACATGCATAAACCCAAAACATAGATTTATGTTCTATTGTATTGTGCATACTATTAATTTGGGATTATGCATGGATTTAATGTTGCAGCTTTTTTTGAAAGAAAAAAAAAGGCATGTTATAATTTTAGCTGATCAGACTCTGTGAAATCAAAATTTCCCTTATTTTTAGGGTTACTTTATTATGAGGGTACTGTTAAATGTGTAGCTAATTGACAACACAAAGTCCTGTATGTGTACTTTTAAATTATTTAGCTATTTCTAAATTTGCTTCTTTGTAAACTTTCTTACCATCCATTCACTGGATGTTACTGAGTAAACAAGCAATGCACTGATGTCACCTTATTGCTGAGGGATTTGAACAGAAAATGTTTTCAAGTATTCAAGTGGGTATAAGTTGCACTGTGTATAAGAATATAATTTTATTTTTTTATTTATTTTATTTGTCCCAAGCAGCACAGAGAGACGGATTCTGACAAGTGGAGGGTGCAATTTAAATACCACATGGCACACTGGTGGAGTCAGGGGGTGACCAGTGGTGGCTTTGGCCACCCCAATGGCCACCTTAATCATTTGAGGAAACGATACTTTTAAGCAATATAAAAATTTGAAAGCATAATGGTTTCCTCAAATTGTTTATACATATATATATTTTTTTTTTTTGTTTTTTTTTGAGGAAATATATGTACCTATATCCAATTTTAAATTGTGAACTTTTTCATGCCTAGATGCAGCCACACCAAGATGGAAGTCGGTACCTCACTTGTATTTCAAGTCATCATGCTCACAACTTGCATGGACATAGGATATTTCCATTTCCCCCTCTTTACGCCACAACAGGGGAGGATAAAGAACAGTGCACATCATTACTTCCATATATGTTGTGGTTTTACTAAAAAAAAAAAAAAAGATCAAGTCAATGTAGCAAAGATGTCTTCATTCAGAAAAGTGTAATGATTCATCAGTAAGTTGTGCCAGTCAGGATCGAGGCGAACTCTTAGACATCCTTTAAGTTCAGCAGCAATCTTTATCTCTCCTTTAGCTGTTTCCCGCCTGTTCATTCGTAAAAGAATCCATTGCTTTGCTGTCATCTCCTGCCAGCACAACTCTGCCTAATGTGTCAACATTTAAACATTAAATGGTACAGATGTCCTCATTTACCATATTAACCACAGTCATATGTGACCTTTTAATAAAACTCTACACGTTACTTCCACAATTTGCACGGCTGCAAGTGAGCAAATGCGTCTCACTTCCACTGTGTGCAGTCGGGGAAAACGACTCTCCACAGGTAGCTTAACATGGACAAGCTGAAGTAAAGACACTGACCTTCAAACAGAGGAGCTGAGTTGTCAGCTTGGCTTAGATCCTGTTAAAGATGTATAAAAGTCAACATGGTGCTGGGAAGGGATTTTTTCTACTGAGCAGGGTGACAGAGTAGAAATATTTTGAAAAAAGGTCACATCGGCTACATCATTACCCCCTGAGGGCGTGTCAGAAAGGTGTGCATCAACCTGCCCAGGATAGATGCCAGAATTTATATATATTTTCTTGTACACCCAAGCAGACACAACTCAGTGGCAAAGGTGTGTGTCTCTTTTATTTATTTATTTCTTGTTCTGTGTGTGAGTGCAAGTGTGTGCATCTAACGTAGTGTCTGACACTCTTAGGCAGCCAGTAGCACAGCTCCTTTAAAGAGATGGCTTGTTCACTGGAGCGTGGTTTGTCTTACACACACAAACACACACACACCTTCTATTCAGCAACCAAGGCCTCTGAGATATACTTTTCTAAAGGGTAATTTTGTAAAGAATAACCAAGAGTGGGAAAAGATCATACAATGAAATCAGTAAATCTCAGATACAAAGATCATTAACTGTTTATATAAAAATAACATTGACCTAAAAAGCAAGAGAGAAATGACAGATTCTGTGAAGAACATTCAGACTTTTTGATTTGTATTCTTTACGTCATGAGCGCTTCTATGAAGAAAAACACAAATGGCTTTTAAAATACCTGCGTAACTCTAAATAATGCGTGTGAGGTAATGGATATGAGTGAAGTGGAGTTATAAGGCCTCATCAGAACCATTTAAAGAAGGGAGAGTTTCAACCCAAGTTAGCTTGCATGGAACAAATGTGTTTAAGTGCACGGACGTCATACATCTGGGCAGAAGGCCAGTGACCATGTCTGGGGAGTGAGTACCTGACAGGTAGGAGAAAAACAAGTCTGTTATGTTTTTCTTTCTCCTAAGACTTCCTTACTAGAAGAAAAATGCATTTCCTAAAACATCAATAACAACAGTGCACTGTTTTTCCCTTAGCATATTAAAAATTTGGAGACATTTGTTTAACCAAGAAAAACCCTGTACAATATTTACAATGTTATACAACCATCAGTGTTGGCTACCTTTGGAATTTAGAACTTTTTTTTTTTTTTTTATGTCCTGGGTCAGATCACTTTACAATGCATGGTAAGCAAACATCTGCCATAAGGTCCCTAAGCTGTAGTTGGAATGTGAAGATTATACAAGCAATTTTGCATCTTTTTATGTCTTCTTTAAACTCACTCTTCATTTTTATGTTAAATTTGTGTTTCTCACTTGAACGATAAGAACATGTTTTTACTATTTCTTCATAAAAGCAAAACGATGATGACAGTGAGAGTGTTTTTGCCCAGTTTGTGGCATTAGCAATATATATGTTGTATGTAATATAGGTAATATATATGTATTTTAATGAAACTGACTGGATATCAATCATTTCTACAACTGATTAATTTTAGGAGTTTGCCCCATTCATCATGGCCACCACACTTTAGCAAGCACAAACATGTCTAACTCAAATAATTTGACTGATACTCTACTGAAACGTGTGTGTGTTGGTAAGACGGAGTATGTGTGTTAATGGGAGGGAGGTGGGTGGAACAGTGAGGAACATAATTATTAGATTTGTTGTTTTGAGTTTATTGAATAGATCCAGTACAGCATAACATATAACAAAGTATTTAATACTGTCTTTTCCATAAGCTTCTGGTTTTAGCGATTTTTGGTAAAATATTTTAAACTGATAGAGTAAAACACAAATGTGTTACTAGCACATATGTAAGGCTTCAAAATATGTTATTTTGAAATTAGAAATTGTGTTCAATTACTTTTAACAAGTAATAACATGTACAACTTTAAACAGGAATAACATATATATGCATATATATACATATACACACACATATCTCTCTCTCTCTCTCTCTCTCTCTCTCTCTCTCTCTATATATATATATATATATATATATATATATATATATATATATATATATATATATATATATATTATTTTATTTTT